CGCTTTTTTTTTGTTTTAACAATGAATTTCCTTTTCAGTGGATGCCTTTGTCTCCTTTTAAGAACTGACACGTCTCTACGGCCTCACTCCAGAAAATAATCCGTTTCCGCTCAATATCCGACGAGAGTGAAACGGACATTCGCAGCGACACAACTCACCAAAGTCTTTCATCGCTTTGTAGTTCCTCAGGATATTCTCGAAGCGATTTCTTCTCGATCTCCGGGAAGGAGAGCCATTCCTCCGTCGAAAACAGTTGCTTTGCGTCCTCAGCCATCGCCCTTTTGCGGCCGAGAAGTCTGAATGTTCCCCGAACCCAGCGTCGAATGGTCGAACGGATGCGAGGCTGTCAGACTGAGCTGATTTGCGCGGGTCCTGGCCTGCCTGGGGCGTGACGTCATCATGACGTTTTGTTTTGGTCACAACCATGAATTCTAGTCTTCATAAGCATAGGTTTTTATCTTTAATTGTGATAAAATAAAGCAATTAGACCAAGAAGGCCCCTCGTCATAAGATACGCCTTGATTTTGTTGTTGAAGAAGTTTAGGCCGCTCAGCTGCGAGAGCATGACGTCACGACCAAACCGTTCGCGAGAATCCGCCTTAATAAGATTTCCCGCCAAAAATCATCGCGTTCATGATCGCTTTTACATTCAAAGAAGCGAGTCGTTACTTGAACTGGGATTAGCACTGATATTTTCTGTCATCAGAACAAAACAAGGGAAATTACAAACTACGTCTGTACGACTACAAAAAGAGCCCAACGCTATCAAAAATATATAAAGGCGTGAGGCAGGGCAGCCAGCTGACTATTTCGTAACGCTTTAGTCTTTTGTTTATAGTTTTGCAGACCTTCTTTGGTCATTCTTGAATTCCAAATCTATGTTAAAGGAAATCTTTTTTATCAGAAACGCGATTACTGTCTAAATATTTCACATAATTCAACCTATTTAAGTAAAAGTAAAGGCACGACAGGGTTAACCTAAATGCTACTCTTCGTTACAGATGTGATTTTTACCTTCATATTTATCTATTCGGTGTCTATAATAGATGATTAATTACGATGATTAATATTCGGTTTGTAATATATGCGACCACATGTGTTACTATTAATCTAAAAATGTTAATGCTAAAACGTCATTTTATTCGAGCCAAGATCGTTATTTCAAACAATATATGTATTACATATATTTTATATTGATTACTATCTTTTTAGATAACTGACTATGATGTTTAGTTTACAATTGATTTGATGTCCAGTTTTCTTTTTCATTCCTTTCGTATGCTATCAAACGAGCATGTTCAGAATCCTTAAAGATATACGTATATGATTATACTGACCAAAAAAAAATCCACTTTAATTCTCAGTTGTCCGTTAAATGTTTAGATATTTATGTTTTTCATGTTATTCTTTATTATTATTAGTAGTAGTAGTAGTTTCTTATCTCGCGTTATTTCCATGCATATTAGACACGCTATATATAATTACTCAGAAAATAAAGAAACAACGCGAGGAATTAAGGTTAGCCAAACTTTTTTTTTTTTTACGCGGGTCCTGGGCCTGTGGGCCCGTGACGTCATCATGACGTTTTGTTTTTGTCACAACCATGAATTCTAGTCTTCATAAGCATAGATTTTTATCTTCATTGTGATAAAATAAAGCAATTAGATAAAGAAGGCCCCTCGTCATAAGATACGCCTTGATTTTTGTTGTTGAAGAAGTTTAGGCCGCTCAGCTGCGAGAGCATGACGTCACGACCAAACCGTTCGCGAGAATCCGCCTTAATAAGATTTCCCGCCAAAAATCATCGCGTTCATGATCGCTTTTACATTCAAAGAAGCGAGTCGTTACTTGAACTGGGATTAGCACTGATATTTTCAGGGGGGGGGGGGAGCCAGACCTAGAGGGGGTCAAAGAGAGATTTAGGGGGGTAACCCCCCCCCCATGACGCCCCTTTTGCAGTTTATATTCAATTCAATCCAATGGTTTCCGTGTCAAGAGCTTTTCTTTTTTTAACAATGAATTTCCTTTTCAGTGGATGCCTTTGTCTCCTTTAAGAACTGACACGTCTCTACGGCCTCACTCCAGAAAATAATCCGATTCCGCTCAATATCCGACGAGAGTGAAACGGACATTCGCAGCGACACAACTCACCAAAGTCTTTCATCGCTTTGTAGTTCCTCAGGATATTCTCGAAGCGATTCTTCTCGATCTCCGGGAAGGAGAGCCATTCCTCCGTCGAAAACAGTTGCTTTGCGTCCTCAGCCATCGCCCTTTTGCGGCCGAGAAGTCTGAATGTTCCCCGAACCCAGCGTCGAATGGTCGAACGGATGCCGAGGCTGTCAGACTGAGCTGATTTGCGCGGGTCCTGGGCCTGTCTGGGGCCGTGACGTCATCATGACGTTTTGTTTTGGTCACAACCATGAATTTCCAGTCTTCATAAGTATGGATTATTATCTTTCATTGTGTGAAAATAAAGCAATTAGATAAAGAAGGCCCCTCGTCATATGATACGCCTTGATTTTTGTTGTTGAAGAAGTTTAGGCCGCTCAGCTGCGAGAGCATGACGTCACGACCAAACCGTTCGCGAGAATCCGCCTTAAGATTTCCCGCCAAAAATCATCGCGTTCATGATCGCTTTTACATTG